GTACACGAACTTGTTTTTTCGTAAATGATTTATGTCCGCTTCATTTCCAGCTTTCTAATATCAAAACCAATCGAGCGTTTTAAATTTTTATCAACCAAATTTTAAATATTTTGTAATTACATAAATTTATTGTGTAAGCTCCCCTTAAACTCATAAGAGTTTCATCAACCACTGCCGATGGTTTAGTAGCCCTGGCGAAGGTTTAGCGGTTATGAAATTAAATTAACCGAACCAACACTACAATGCAGACCNTTCTAATATCAAAACCAATCGAGCGTTTTAAATTTTTATCAACCAAATTTTAAATATTTTGTAATTACATAAATTTATTGTGTAAGCTCCCCTTAAACTCATAAGAGTTTCATCAACCACTGCCGATGGTTTAGTAGCCCTGGCGAAGGTTTAGCGGTTATGAAATTAAATTAACCGAACCAACACTACAATGCAGACCATAAGGGAACTACAAACGGGACGTGCAAGCCGATCGATACCTCCTTCGTTGATGAGGACACTATGTGTCTATATGTAATCATCTAGCTTTAGACTCTATTCGAAGACTTGAACAAATAATTTAACTTCAAGATAAAGAATCAGAATTTTGTCAAAAAAAAAAAAAAAAGAATCAGAAGAAAACGTATTAAACTACCAACACGATTAAGACACATTAAGGTGAACAAATTGTCAAAAACAACATATACAGATAGTCCTACATGGAAGTTAGGAACACAACATGAAGAGGATAATTAACAAATTTAACAACGAGAGGTTGGGCTAAAAAGAAAAATTAAGTAAAATCTCAAGATTATATTAATACTTTCAAAATTAAGATTTCTTCCACTTATTGAGAATAAATATTCTCATGGTCACAACAATCACAACATTGTCCATAATCAAAGAGAAAAGAATTGAGGCACCGATTTTCAAGACTCAACACCAACCTCTTGTACTATATACTTAATTAACCACTGAATTGGTTGAACCAACCATTTATTACAGAATCTAAATTATTTGAGGATCCATGCCACTGAATGCTAAAAAGGAAACTAAACAATGCATATCACATATTAGATATCACATTCATATCATAGAGTAAGATACTCTACACAATCAACTCAAGTTCCAAATAATGCCTCTATTTAATTATCATTGACAACCTTTTATATCTTACTTTTCAATGTTCAGTTTTGAATTAAGATCCGAGTCTGGGGAAAATGTATGTTAACAACAATAAGAGAAATGAATAGTCAATGGAGTTTATTCAAAGTCAAAATCTGATTAAGGAACTGATGAGGCTGTAACAGATGATCAGTGGATGACCTTTGACCTTGAGCTAGAGCCCCAAGGAAAAGGCTAATTCTTCGAACCAGATATAGGATAATAATGTGACATGCACCAAACGATCAAACGGCAGCAGCAGCAGCAGCAAGAACATGTTCGAATTCGGTGTCACTCCTAAGGAAGACGATCTGAACTGGTTCCAACGGTTTCTATTAGAACAGGAACCCTACCCAGATACGGATGGTTGCGGAAGATAAAACTAACAATTTTTCTATATAAATTGAGAGTAAAAACTATTATAACTCAATATTATATTTTAAAAACAAATGGCGGCAATATGTTGTTTTGGTTAGTCAGTTTTTTTGTTTTACAACATCTTCTTTTAATAAATTGAGTTTTTGATAATAATTTTAATTAATTTTTCTTTGTTTATTGTGTCCTAACTGTCCTTTTTTGTATTAGCATAAAAATTAAATATTCATTTTGTTTTCACGGAAAATAATGTTCATAATAACTTGCAATTTTTTTTGTTAAACATGCATGTGTTGTTTTTGTTAGATCTCTCAACTACAGGGCCGACCCTGAAATTTCGGGGGCCTGAAACAAAATAGAAAACGGGGACCAGTATACAACATCACAAAAAATAACTGAAATAAATTTGTAAAAATACTTTCAAATACAAAGTACTAATAAGACACAAGTTTCCTCACAAAAAAAAACAATTATCTACATCTTTTAAAACAAATTTAAAGTGGACTGTATATAATTATTAAAATTTTATATATATAATATAATTGGATTTTTAATTTTGGGGGCATATAAAATTGGGGACCTGTTGCAAATGTTTCATGAGGCAGTGCCCAGGGCCGGCCCTGGTCAACTATGTTCTATTTGTAACCTACTTATATATACTTCTTAACCATTCCTGTAATTGATTGTCTCCTCATATAAATTATTTGTGCATACTCTATCGCATATTATGGATCTATCGCTTCACTCGCTTGAGACATTGTGTAGAGGGGTTCACTGGTTGAAACTTCAAACTCATCCACAACTTCTCAGGCGAGTGAAAGGAGAGGCATGAGATAGGTAGAACCAGGTAATTATAGGCCATGCTCTCTTGTTTAATATTATATTCGTACGGTTCTCTTTAATTCTTTCTTTGCTCTTTGATAAAAGTTTGCAAGTACGTATACTAGGGTTGTTCAATTAATTACCAATAAGTATTTTCTAGGAAGAAAGAGTTGTTATCAAAGGTGAATCTATCTTAGACGTATGGCTTATCCTAGGATGTTTGTAAATAACAGTGACGATTGTACCTGATGATGGTTGCTCGGAAGTTATTTCCCCATAAATACAACTACAATGGTGGATCAATTGTATTTAGGTCAAGTTTAAAAAATCCAACATTTGCTAAATGAGTAACGCCGCTATTTGTAATCGGATATATCATAAAGATAGCCTTGATAGAAATGTCAAGACACCATACATATATACAAAATTTATTGTCGGATATGCCTATTGATGGATCTTTAATATTTTGTTAGTTTGCATATAATGCAACTCTAGTAGGCTGCTTAAGAATAATAATTTTGCTTCTTTATAAAAAACAAGAATCAGGTGGTTATTTGAAAACAAGTTAAAAAAAACATCAATTCGTGTGATACCCCCGAGGAAACGTGGACACCGAACAATCAAACGGCAGCAGCAGCCGCAAGAGCCTGTTCGAATTTGGTGTCCCTCCTAAGGAAGACGATCCGAACTGGTTCAACCGGTTTCTATTAAGGCAAGATGAAACAGGAAAACTAGTGTAGAGAGAGCTCCAATCTAGGAACCCACCAAGGATCTGAAGATTGGTGAATACAGGTCTAGAAGATGATCTAGAAAGGAAGAGAGATCATCTCGAAGATGCTGGATTTTCATGATGATGGTGATGATAGATGATGATGGTGATGATAGATGACGATGGTGATGGTAAATTGTATGTCTTTGATTAATGAAAATCCCAAATGGGTAACCACTTACAAATAGTATTTAGTAAACCGATAAACCAACCAAATGGTTAACATAAATCAAGATAATAAGATTAGAACCGGAATCAGAACCTCGTGGAAATTTATAGAATATCGCTTCTAAAATAACCTAATTAAGATTTTTCAAGATTTCATCAAGAGGAACCATTTTGGACAAGAAGCTATTACGGAAGCAAGCAAATCTTGGGAGTTTTATAGAGACACCATTAGTATGCACATACGCAAACATTTCGAAACCACATACTAGTAGAGGAGAGAATTGATATAAGAGAATTTGCTGAAATGAGGAGGATGTTTTTATAGTTTTGCTTACTTAATTAGCTCTAGTTTATATATTTTAGTTTTGGTATATTTAGAGAAACTCTCATTCTGTAATTTTTAGTTTTGTAAATCGGTTTGGTTAGGGCCGGGTTTGGTTTCTCTGGTTTGGTTCACGGTTTGTATGTCCATACCTCTCTTTCTTTTTGTTAACCTTCGATTAAAGTCGAAAGGGTCTTTTAACAGAGTTGCAACAATGTAGATTAAAACGACATGAGATTACATAAGCATTAATAAAATGAAAGTGGTCTGTAGCACACACAGGGAAAGCCTCTACAGATGCATGAAGACGACATGCATCCTTCCCTGGAGAAGCAGCAACACACTCGTCTAGAGAGCTCCACCACCACGCAGGGCCGTGCTTAACCACAGGCTAGTCAAGCACGTGATTGAGACTAAAATATCTATAAATAATTTAGTGGTTAACATTAGTTCCGGTTTTGGGGTGGTGCTGGAGGTGCAAAAGCACTAGGCCCTTATATTTTTGTTAAAATTTCCTTATTGATTTAGGATCTTTTTGTGATATTCTTTTAAATTGAGGAGTCCAATTTTTAAAACATTTTACTAACATAAGCAAAAAAAAATATAGTACAGAGCCCACACATATATTAAACCGGGCTTAGTTAACATTGACAAGAATCATAGTGGGTTCAGTGGTTTAGTAGCTGATTCATGTCAAGGTCATGTGCTTGAACATTGTAATACCACTTTTGGGGCCAAAATTGACTTCAAAAGATATTGAGAATACACCAAAAAATCGGCACAGCGAAAAAATAATCAGTGAAATCAATCATGCGATTGGAGATATAATAAAGACAAAAAAAAAATTAGATCCAAAGATCTACAAAAAAACGGTTTTTCATCTCTTCTGTGTGAAAGATTGAGAGAGAAAACAGAGACAATGAGAGAAAACATTGACTCTAGTAAATACCTGATTTATTAACATATACATATGTCCATACCCATGTACAAATATTTATATGAATGATTGGTTGAAGTAAAAATTAGTAGCTGTAAAACTTAAATGGAAAAAAAAATTGAAAAAAAAATGTGTACATCAATATTTTTTTTTACAGCTTGCTGAATCGGTTCAGTTGTCAGTTAAATGGTCTGTGTGCAATACAAAACCGGATTAATCGAAGCAGTATATGTCGTTTGATCGGTTGAATCGAATCCTAACATATCTGTTATCCGATCTGAATTTAATTTAAACCGGATAAAAAACATAAACCGGTCACATGGTTAAATAATATCAGAGAAAAAAAAAAAAAAATTAGGTTCTCTCATCTTCACCGAACAGTCTACCGACTTGTCTTCTCATCAAATCTCCGAAGAAGAGCTTCTCACCTTTTCTAAAAGGTAACCACTTTCCTTTTAAATCGCATTGCTTCTCTGTCTTGATCTCATCTTGTAATGACTTCCCTTTCATGAGCTTTTCGAATTTCAAAAATGTCAAAGTTTCAATCTTTAAATTTGGATCTACATGTTATATTCAAAGTTTCATGTTTTTTTTCTTTCTCAGGGAGGTTCTTCAGTTATGGTTACTGCCTTGGATTTACAGAGCTTTATTCTCAGAGCTAGAGTGCTTAAACTTTACAGACAAGGATTAAAGATAGCTCATAGAGCTCCTCCTCATTCTAGAGGTTCGTGTTCTTGTATTAAATTCCTCTTTGATGATGATTGTAAAGTAAGCTTGAATTTTTAATCTGTGTTGATGCTTATAGGGGAATTAAAGCAGAGTATTAGGCAAGAGATGGAGAAGAACAGTGAGTGTAAGGACAAGCAAAAGATCAGGTATCTGATTAGTGAAGGGTTAGAGAGGATTAAACAACTTGATGAGATGTTGGATATGCAAGGCCATTGAAATTTTGCTTTTGTCCTTTTGTTAATGTATTGTTGTTGTTTCTGAAAGAAGAAAAATCTGATCAATGTTTTTTGGTCTGATTATTACAAAAAGTGAAAGTACAAGGAACAACTACTCTTTTCGTTTTATGCTTGTATAGGTTTAATATCTGAAAATAACGATTGTGACAAATAAGTCTAGGTGATGAATACTTTCTCTTGTGTGTTTTCTCATCGATAACAGTGAAGTATTTTGAGATTACAGCATTTGCTATTAGGACAGCTTGTTTATTTTCGATCTAGGAGACTGAAGCATCTATAGAAACCAAGTAGTGCTGGTTTAGTGATGAGAGTGTTTAGGGCCACAAGTAAACTCTTTTATTTTGGGTTTGATTTTTACTGGGAACAAAGTTACTGTTATTTGGTCAGTTTACATTTAGATTTTGGTTTAGACAGTTTACATGGTAGTCTATAGTAATACAAACAATGTGGTTTACTCTTAATATTAGTCAAAATACATTTCAAACTTAGAATAGGTAGTATGGTATTTGTACACTCTATATTAGTAGGATCAGCCATGCATATTGAGAAGAAGAAACATGTATAGATTGTACTCACATCGGTCATGGTTTCGATATCTTTGGGAACTAAATTATTATTAGTTTGGGTTTGGGCTTTAGTCGTTGATACTAAAGACTGACTCCACTCTTTGATATTAGTCGGAAAGTATTTCAAATTCGAATCAGATAGTGTGATACGTGTTACACTCTATAATACTAAGTGAGTGTTCTTGTCGGAGTTGACCAGATAAATTGATAGGATTTATAAAAAAAAAAGGAACTTTTTACTGTATGTATTTTTACTTTGAATCCAGAAAGAGACTAAAGCATCTATAGAAATGTATTTTGATTAATCCCAACTTGTGAAAATCTCTCACCAAACACTCCCACTTGCTAACAAGACACCTTGTTTGTATTTAAACGTCAGAATCATATTCTCCTCCACTCGTCATGATAAAATACTTATCTGATTCCTAAAAGACACAAACCTTTGTTTTTGCATGACACATGGATCTCTCATTACATCATAATGAACACCTACAGCTCTTTTTATATCTAAAGAGAATTTTTCTTCATCCATCAATGGCGATCAAAATAACCAAAATCACCGGAATCAACCCATCAACAAACCCATCTCACAAAAACACAACCAACTCACTCCACTTCCCACTCGCCTTCTTCGACTTACGTTGGATAAACTTCCACCCAACAGAGAGACTCATCTTCTACAAACTCCACAACCCAAACTCCTTCCACTCTCTAATCCTCCCCAACCTCCAACACTCCCTCTCCACCGTCCTCACCCACTACCTCCCCCTCGCAGGCCGCCTCACATGGGACCCACAAGACCCAAAACCACACATCCTCGTCCTCCCAGACAACCACGTCACGTTAACAATCGCCGAGACCGACGCTGACTTCTC